TGGAGAAAAAGGAACACTTTTACACTGTTGGTGGGAGTGTAAATTAGTTCAACCATTGTGGAAGACAGTGTGGCAATTTCTCAAGGCCTTAGAAATAGAAATTCCATTTGACCCAGCAATCCCATTACTGGGTATATATCAAAAGGACTATAAATCATTCTATTATAAGGACACATGCACATGAATGTTCATTACAGCACTGTTTACAATAGCAAAGACCTGGAACCAACCCAAATGCCCATCCACAATAGACTGGATTGGGAAAATGTGGCACATATACACCATGGAATATTATGCAGCAATCAAAAAGGATGAGTTTGTGTCCTTTGTAGGGACATGGATGAATTTGGAGAACATCATTCTCAGCAAACTGACACAAGAACAGAAAATGAAATACCGCATATTCTCGCTTATAGGCGGGTGATGAAAAAAGAGAACACATGGACACAGGGAACGGAGTACTACACATTGGGGTCTACTGGGGGGAATAGGGGAGGGACAGCGGGGGGAGAAATGCCAAATGTGGGTGAAGGGGAAGATGGCAGCAAAACACACTGCCATGTGGGTACCTATGCAACTATCTTGCATGATCTGCACATATACCTCAAAACCTAAAATGCAATAAAAAAGAAAAAAAAGAAAATCCTCATGCACTACTGGTAGAATTGCAGTGTGATGTAACCATTCTGGAGAGTTATTTGTCACTAGTCACTGAACTACATGCCTCTGAAACAGCATTCTCACTCCTGTGTACATGTCTTGCAAGAGGATTTATCTGTCTCAAAGGGTATATGTAAAAAGATATTTATCAAAGCAGTATTTGATAATGCAGGACAATAGAGACAATCTTGTTTTTATTATTAGGAGAGTGGAAACATTAAATGTGGTAGGTGATCACCAAAGAGAGCTATACTGCAATAAAATGCAATTAATAAGATACATACGTATAAACACGGGAGAATGTTTTAAAACTAGCAATGACCAAAAAGAGTAAGAAACAGGCAAGGTCTATGTCACAATACTATTTTTGTAAAATAAAAATACATACTTAGGACTTTCCTTTCCAGTAATGATACACAAGGTAATTGAGACCAAACTTCCTACTTAAACTAAAAATGATTGGTTACATGTATACTCACTGGAGGTATTGAAAAGCAAAGACTGTGAATAATTATGAATCCAAAGTTCAGAAGCAACATAGCAACCCAGAGGGGCAATTCTGTGTTTTGAGGGCCCTTTCCCCTTAGGGTATTTAACGGCTCCAGAATATTTGGCTGAGAGATTTAGAAGCACATTTTAAAGTCTTTAGTAAATAAAATGGTAGCACCTAGAGGCCAGAGCTCTCCAAACTGGAGCAAGGAGAAATTCCTGACAGACCCTTCGCATATTGTGATATCAAACTGAAGGTATAATTCAAATGGTCCATAAACATATGAAAGGATGTGTAAAGTCATTAAAAACGAAAATTAAGGCAAGATACTGCTTCACCCATCAGACTGACAAAAAGTAAAATGCCTAGCAAAGTAAACTGATAGTAAAGATAAAATAAACTGAAAATATCCCACACTGCAGATGGGTATTGAAATCCTTGTACCACTTTGAAGAGCAATTTACCAATATCTGGTAGATTTCAAGAAACACATACATATAGAGCCTATAACCCCATCTCTGCTGTATACCCTAGAGAAACTCTTGTAAATATGCTTAGGTAGATGTACCATATTTGTAGCAATATTGTTTGTAATGTTGAAAAAACTATGGAGAATCTAAAATCCAGCACTAAGGGAATAAAATAACAGGTTTTGCTACATTCATCGAGTGTCATGTAGATGGTCATTAAAAGTAATAAATTATATTCTCATTATCAACGTTAATAAGTCTTAAAAACATAATAGTAACAAATTTTGCAATATGTACATACCACTTATATATATAATACAAAATTATGCTATATGTTATTTCCATAAATATGGATTAAGAACATAGAAACATATCTTGAAGAATACATGTCAATGTCCTAATCCCACAACATTGGGAGGGAAATGAGATTGAAGAGAATTACAAAGGAAACTACAACCGTATTTGTCCTGCTTTACTTCTTTTTAAGGGTGGGGGGATCTGTTAAAAACTGGAAAACCTGCTAGACAAATTCCAAAAAAGCCCTACCGTTGTCATGCTTCATTTCTTAAGAAGAAATGACCTTAAACAAATGTGGCAAGTGTTTAATTTTATTAAGGTTGGGTGCATCTGAGTTACGTGTGTTTTTATCTTGTTCTCTATATGTGTGAGTGTATATATAAAAGATTTCATAATGTAAAACAAATTATTTCATTCTATGATAATGTGACGAAGGAAGCAAAGATGTGAAATAAAAACTAATAGGAAGGAATTTACTTTAAGCAGTGTGGCCAGGGATTAGCGCTCCAAAGAAGGGATGCTTAGGCTGAAATATGGAGAAGCAGAAAGTAAGTTGAGTTTTAAAAAGTTTCAAGCAGAGTAGTATGTGAATAGACACACCAATGTCTGCAGTCTCGGATGGCATTAAATCTGCTGCTGGTTTATCTGTGATCATCATTCTGCTACAAGTTCTATAAGAGCATGGATACTGAATATTCTGTTTAACCCTGTGTTTTCATCACCAGAATAGTAACACACAGTGTGGCTCAAAAAAAAAAAAAAATTCGCAGATGAAGTGAATGACATGGTTTAAGGGACTCAAATGTTAGAGTGCCACTGACTCTGGTGGCTGGAGCTGTCGACTCATTCATCCCGTTCCTCACGCTCGAGAAGAAAGTCGGCCGTCGAGCTCTCGGTCTCCAGGACCACGACCTTTCGCCAGCCGTCCTGAGGCCACTCCCCACCTCCGCCATGAGTGTGGACATGCAGTGCCTGGACATCCAGTGTGAGGAGCTGAGCGACGCTAGGTGGGCCGAGCTGCTCCCCCTGCTCCAGCGGTGCCAGGCTGTCAGGCTGGACGACTGCGGCCTCACAGACATGAGCTCTGCACTCCAGGCCAACCCTGAGCTGACGGAGCTCAACCTGCGCAGCAACTAGCTGGGCGATGCTGGCGTGCACCGCGTGCTCCAGGCTCTGCAGAGCCCCTCCTGCAAGATCCAGAAGCTGAGCTTCCAGAACTGCTACCTGACTGGGGCCGGCTGCGGGGTCCTGTCTGGCACACTGCGCTCCGTGCCCACCCTGCAAGAGCTGCACCTCAGCGACAACCCCTTGGGGGATGCGGGCCTGCAGCTGCTCTGCGAGGGACTCCTGGACCCCCAGTGCCGCCTGGAAAAGCTGCAGCGGGAGTACTTCAGGCTCTCATCTGCCAGCTGCAAGCCCCTGGCCTCGGCGCTCAGGGCCAAGCCGGACTTCAAGGAGCTCACCGCCAGCAACAACGACATCGATGAAGCCGGCGTCCACGCGCTGCGCCAGGGCCTGAAGGACTCCCCCTGCCGGCTGGAGACGCTCAAGCTGGAGAGCTGCGGTGCCACCTCGGACAACTGCAGGGACTTTTGCAGCATCTTGGCCTCCAAGGCCTCCCGCGGGAGCTGGCCCTGGGCAACAACAGGCTGGGCGACATGGGCTGCTGCACCCCAGCTCCAGGATCAGGACCCTGTGGATCTTGGCCTCACCGCCAAGAGCTGCAGGGACCTGTGCCGTGTCCTCAGGGCCAAGGACAGCCTGAAGGAGCTCAGCCTGGCTGGCAACAAGCTTGGGGACAAGGGCGCCGGGTGCTGTGTGAGAGCCTGCTGGAGCCTGGCTGCCAGCTGGAGTCTCTGTGGGTGAAGTCCTGCAGCCTCACAGCTGCCTGCTGCTCCCACTTCAGCTCAGTGCTGGCCCAGAATAAGTTTCTCCTGGAGCTGCAAATAAGCGACAACAGGCTGGGGGACGCAGGCGTGCGGGAGCTCTGCCAGGGCCTGGGCCAGCCTGGCTCCGTGCTGCGGTCACTCTGGCTGGGGGACTGTGACGTGAGTGACAGGAGCTGCGGCAGCCTCGCCGCAACCCTGTTTGCCAACCACAGCCTGCACGAGCTGGACCTCAACAACAGCTGCCTTGGGGACGCGGGTGTCCTGCAGCTGATGGAGTGCCTGCGGCAGCCGACCTGCCTCCTAGAGCAGCTGATCCGGTACGACATCTACTGGTCTTTGGAGATGGAGAACCGGCTGCAGGCCCTGGAGAAGGAGAAGTCATCCCTGAGGGTCATCTCCTAAACTGCTTCCTGCCCGCCAGGCTCCTGAGACCCGCTCTCCCTGGACAGCCCGGCCTTGAGGCGCCCCTGGGCTTTCACCCTGAGTATCCTAGATTTGAAGAGAAACGCTCAGATCAGCTTGTTTCTGCTAGTGTATTTTGGACACTTTATAATTAAAACACTTTCTTGGCAAAAAAAAAAAAAAAAGGACACATAGGAGCAACTAAGAATCTGATCAGATCGACGCTGTGAAATAGACAAGGGTGATCTCTGAGAACCCCTTTCTAAAACCTCTTTCGTCTTTTTTCTATTTTATCTTTCATTTATCCTCTACTCTAGAAATCCTTATTTTGTATTATTTTCTTCCTTGACCATGTACTCAATCAACTGCTAAAAAAAAAAAAAAAAAAAAAAACCCAAAACTATGATCTAGTTACAACTCACTCAATCCCAGAAATGAATCTGCAATGCCTGAGTTCCTATCATGGTAACATGTCACAAGACATTTTTTGTCAGCGTCCTTTGTCACCTGCTTTTACAAGCAGGATTTTGAAAGAGATGGAGAAAGGTAGGTTGAAGGTTCCTCATCAGGAGATTTGCTGTTAAAGCTCAATCTAAATGGAATATGAATTTTATCCTCCAGACATGCCTCAACAACTGTCAGAATTTAACCTTGAGAAAAATGAGGCAACCACTGAGAGTAATGACCCTTTTAGGGAATCTGTGCTCAATTCTGAACTCTATTCAGAGGCCTTGGGGTGGGGCTTGTTTGCACATAGTGGTCACATAAAAGCCTGGTAAACTTGGCTGGTCTCAGGGATGAGGCTGAGGGCAGAGAGCTGGGCACAACCGTGAGATTTATCCCTCACAATGGGGAAAGACAGACGTCTCCATTTATGTCTCATGCTACTTCTTCTCCTGCTTTCTGCCAATGACTCAGACTCTGCAGAACCGTAAGTCTCACTCAAGGCCCTTTCTTCCAGAGTGCATTTCAGTCACTCCCTTATGTCTTTGCTTTGCCTTCCTTTGTAAATGCAACCTTTCCACTCAGTAGGATACTTTCCAAACATAAGAAATTATTTCAGTTAATCCCTTGTTTATCTTTCATTTATCCCCTACTCTTGAAATCATTTTTCTACATTGGGCCAATCAGAGTCATAAATACAAGTAGTCACTAGGAAGCACGATTAGATAAAACACTAAAAGCTTAGGTCCCACCTTCACAGAACTGTTCTGTTGGACGGAAGGCATTGAGTGTAAAGATATTCAAAATATATAGTGAGGTGCAATTTAACATGTATTGTAGGCCGTATATATCCAGAAAGTACAGCTCCTTTATTTTTCAACCATGTATCAAGTCTTCACCAACAGCCCCCAGTGGGGGATTAATGTGGGAGGGGGGGATAATTTTAATCCTACATAGTTGTAAATTGGTAAAATTCAATAATTGTGAGACTTCTTTTCCCCCCTCCCCAGTTTCTCTTTTCCATAGTGTGTAGAGGCTTGTGGTCTCCATTATCTCTTGACAGAAAAAAGTGTCAGAGTCCTTGGTCTCAAAGTTCTCCGTCCTCCATGACTACTGTCAGTCTGACTTCTTCATACCCTCTAGCATGCTCTGCTGGAGTTTAGCCATCCGATTTCTCTCGTGTGGTCAGGATTCCACACTCCTCTCTAACTGACTCACTCCATCTGTTTCATAACCCAAAGAATTCCGACCTTTCCAATGCATCCTGCCTGCAATATTATGGCTTTTTTTCTCTACTTCTTGCATATCCACACTGCACTTCGAGATGCCTACCGTGTCTCCTATATTCCAGATTGATACAGGGAAGTCTTCAGAGTCCCACTTGGGGAAAGGGATAAGGGGTTCCTCTGCCCTGTGTGTTACCCTTATTCATGTAACACAATGAGCCCTCTTCAGGTCAAAGTGGAGAAAGCAAAAATTAGGACTTCAATCCAGTAACTCTCCTGCTTTCCTCAGTCTTTTCTTGCACAATTTTCTGGCAATCAGAAGGGGTACATTTCTCCCCCACTATCCCTCTACCTCATTTGCAGCTGTGGGCGCTACCACTTCCTGCTTCCAGAAAGCATTTGGGAATATGTCGTGGTTATTTTGCTTTCTGAGAGCAGACTGAATGGATAAAGCCAGTGGCATGTATTGGGTCAGAAACCCAAAAAGCCACAAAAACCACAAAAAGCAATTTGTGGTTTTGGATGCAGTCCCATACTACATAGCACCATGTTACCACTGAAACCAACCTTTCACGTTGTGTCCACCACTGAACAAAGAAGAACAAGTCTCATGCCCTACTTATCACAAGCATAAGGGGTGTAGAGAGAAAACTTAACCTTATTGCTCCAGAATTAACCCCTGATGTGATAAATGAGAGAGATTGCCGAAGAGACCCAATAGCTGTTCTCTGCTGCCTTGGGGCAGTAAGCTTCAGAGAGATGGAGGTTTCACCAGAATAAAATGAGAAAGAGAAAATTAAAAGTTATTGGTTTAATATTTGCTAAATTTAATCCCTGCTAAAAAGGCAAATATTTAACATGCAAACACTCATGATTGAGTAATGTATTAAAACATTTAAGCTGCTCACTACCAGTGAAATCTTGGGCGAGTTTGTCAAGAGGGGTTTGTTCCAATTTCAATAATTATTAAATAAATATTAACTGAACTCATATAAAATAGTTCTTTAAAATATCAAATATATGTGGAATTAATTTTGAATTGTGATATCATTTGGGCTTATAATTTATAAGAATAAAAGTAGTATTAAATAAAAATTATATATATTAAATAAAAAAATATACGTATATGCCTTCTTCTTGGGATCAAAGAACCAATGAAAAAATTTTTGGATGGGGAGGTAAAATATGATAAATTTTTATCGTTTATCACATCCTTAAAAGAGCAGTGATCAGGGGATCGGAATCATCCAGATACTAGAAAAAGATTAGATGAAAGGAACTAGCTGAATGAGGATGGGCAAGTTATTTAACTGCCCTCAGCATCTCTGTTAGAAAACAAAACCTTACCACTCATACAGTAAAATAATCTGAAACTTTAATGATTTAAGAGTGGCTCTAGAGATTCATGGCAGATAGTTTTGCCCAGGGACACATTAAAACACATGTAGTAAGATTGATGTGCTGGAGCAGACTATGTGGAGGATGAGAGGACCAAATTTGAGTTCCAGATTCCACAACTCAATTATCTTTAGATTCTCACCTCCTAGTCTCACACCTATTAATTTTGTAAAGTAACAATAGGTTTCTTGTGTCAAAGTGCCTGTCCAGAAAACAATTTAAAATGTAAGAGTTTATGTTGGCAATGGGAAGGTAAGGCTAGTAAAATAATATAAGAAAATAATAGTTTTTACTTGCGAATTTACTCTAGAAATGGCTTAACCCTGCAGATGTTGCATCATTCATTAATCCTGGAATCATTAAAGCTTTGAGGATTCACATTTTATGCATGATATACTGATTTGGCATGGGGCCAGGGATTTTATCCTTCTGTTATGTATTCCAGTTTTGGGGACTGATGAGGATCTCATGTGTTAGCTTCCACGAACATAGATGATTGTGTCATGCCTGTACCTTACAGCATTGCTGGGAAGATTAAATGGCTCAGTACAGAGACTGCTTAACAATTCCCCTTGTGTGGCAGATACTCAAAAACAGCACCAACAAAAATATATTCTCTTTCAGCCCATGAGAGTTCAAAGTGTGGAGAGGTTATATTGAGGTCGATGCTTATGGAAAGTGACCAGAAGCTATGAGCGGAGGGCATTAGAGTCAAAGGACACTCATCAATAAAGCTAAGGCAAGAATATAAGGCTTACACAAGAAACTGCCCGTGCCCCTGAAAAGTTGAAAACATTCAACAATTTAAATAAAAAAGAAAAGACTTTTCAAAATAATATGCACTCATAGTACTTATATAAACTTTTTTTTCTTTTTTTAAAAGACAGAATCTCACTCTGTCACCCAGGCTGCAGCGCAGTGGTGCAATCACATAGCTCATAGTAGCCTTGACCTCCTGGGCTTAAATGACCCTTCTGCCTCAGCCTCCTGAGAAGCTGGGACTACAGGCATGCACCATGACATGACCACACCTGGCTAAATTTTTTATCTTTATTTTTTGTAGTGATGGGCATCTCACAGTTTTGCCGAGGCTGTTCTCAAACTCCTGGCCTCAAGTGACTCTCCTGATTCAGCCTCCCAAAGTGCTGGGATCATAGGTGTAAGCCACTGTTCTGCTGTCAGCCTGAGCCTGTTTTTTTTTTTTAATTTAAAAGATAACTTATTCACGCATGTGATTCTGAAACAATAATCTATTTGGACATATTAATATTAAGTTATTAATGTTGATTACCCCAACAAATTGGGCATAAAGGGAAATGATAACAAAATACAGTCTGTGTTTGTATAGTGTGTGTGGGGGGGGAGTTGTGCATGTAAATAATTGACAAAATTTTCAAACTTGTTGATACAATATTGATTTTGACTGAGCTGTATCTGAGAAGCCTCAGAGAAGCAGCAAATACTTTTTTTCAGTGTTGCTGAAAATGATTTTGCAATATACGCATGTGTTATTTCGGGTAATGGTATATGCTTACTGAAGCTCTTTCAGTTGAATTTGTGTAAAGCTAGTCATGGTGTTCATTCCAAAGTGATGTTTATCTAGACAAATTTTAAAGTAATTCTTTTTTAAAATGAATAATCACTCCCAATTTATTATATGTGTGGGTGTGTCTGCGTATCCACGTACTTTGATGGCTATGTATTCAAGAATTCAGAAACTTTTTAAAGTTCAAAGCTGAAGTTTAAAGAGTTCAGATTGCTCTTTAAAGCAAGGAATACCTGTGAAACTGTCACATCTTGGAAAGCACTCTCCAGTGTTTTGTGGCTCCAGATTGTGTGGTGAGGCATGACCGATGAGTAAAAGATATAATTCTTGTGCTGATCTGTGACAGAAACACCATCGTATTGTTCTTAGTTCATTGACTTTTAGAATAAAGCTGATTGCAGCAATTCATACATATTGTTATGAAAACACACTTATGGATGAAAATGCTTACTATCATCAGTTTTTCTCTAAGCGAGGCTTCTTCTTTTCCCAGGCAGTACATGGTGCTGGTCCCCTCCCTGCTCCACACTGAGACCCCTGAGAAGGGCTGTGTCCTTCTGAGCCACCTAAATGAGACAGTGACTCTAAGTGCTTCATTGGAGTCTGCCAGGGGAAACAGGAGCCTCTTCACTGACCTGGTGGCGGAGAAGGACTTATTCCAATGTGTCTCCTTCACTGTGAGTGCTACAGTGCCAGCAGGCAGTCTCTGTTTGATACGTTTTATTGAGTTCTATATGTCATGGTGAGCAGTTCTGGTGTGCAATCCCAAGGAATGACTTTAAGAATGTAGTTAGGACTTCAGAAATGACTAAAAGTAGTAAACTTTCAACTATTAAGGAACAAAGCATTTTTCTTTTACCAGAATAAGGAAGAAATACATTTCTTAATTTTGTTCCTAAATAATAATCCTGTTGCCCACAAAAGATTTTGTGACATAGAGGAGTTTTCTAGTCTTGATTGTAAGTGTCTCTTTAAGGATGGGGCCAGATATTGCCCAGAAATAGATCAGATGAAAATTTTGTGATTAAAAAAGTTTTGCATGCAACATAAATTTTTGTGCATGCAGGATACTCTAAGCAAACACTTAGTACCTCTTTTTTTTTTAATTTTTTATTAGATTTTAGGTTTTGGGGTACATGAGCAGAGCATGTAAGACAGTTGCGTAGGTATACACGTGGCAGTGTGCTTTGCTTTCCTTTTCCCCTTCACCCACGTTTGGCATTTCTCCCCAGGCTATCCCTCCCCACCTCCCCCTCCCACTGGCCCTCCCCTTTTCCCCCCTATAGACCCCAGTGTTTAGTACTCCCCTTTCTGTGTCCATGTGTTCTCATTTTTCATCACCCGCCTATGAGTGAGAATATGCGGTGTTTCATTTTCTGTTCTTGTGTCAGTTTGCTGAGGATGATGTTCTCCAGGTTCATCCATGTCCCTACAAACAACACAAACTCATCATTTCTGATTGCTGCATAATATTCCATGGTGTATATGTGCCACATTTTCCCAATCCAGTCTATTATCAGTGGGCATTTGGGTTGATTCCAGGTCTTTGCTATTGTAAACAGTGCTGCAATGAACATTCGTGTATCCTTATAGTAGAACAATTTATAGTCTTTTGGATATATACCCAGTAATGGGATTGCTGGGTCAAATGGAATTTCTATTTCTAAGGCCTTGAGGAATCGCCACACTGTCTTCCACAATGGTTGAACTAATTTACACTCCCACCAACAGTGTAAAAGTGTTCCTTTTTCTCCACCCCCTCTCCAGCCTCTGTTGTCTCCAGATTTTTTAATGATCGCCATTCTAACTGGCGTGAGATGGTATCTCAATGTGGTTTTGATTTGCATCTCTCTGATGACCAGTGACGATGAGCATTTTTTCATATGATTGTTGGCCTCATATATGTCTTCTTTCGTAAAGTGTCTGTTCATATCCTTTGCCCACTTTTGAATGGGCTTGTTTTTTTCCTGTAAATCTGTTTGAGTTCTTTGTAAATTCTGGATATCAGCCCTTTGTCAGATGGGTAAACTGCAAAAATTTTTTCCCATTCTGTTGGTTGCCGATTCACTCTAGTGACTGTTTCTTTTGCCATGCAGAAGCTGTGGAGTTTCATTAGGTCCCATTTGTCTAATTTGGCTTTTGTTGCCAATGCTTTTGGTGTTTTGTTCATGAAGTCCTTGCCTACTCCTATGTCCTGGATAGTTTTGCCTAGATTTCCTTCTAGGGTTTTTATGGTGCCAGGTCTTATGTTTAAGTCTTTAATCCATCTGGAGTTAATTTTAGTGTAAGGTGTCAGGAAGGGGTCCAGTTTCTGCTTTCTGCACATGGCTAGCCAGTTTTCCCAACACCATTTATTAAACAGGGAATCCTTTCCCCATTGCTTGTTTTTGTCAGGTTTATCAAAGATTGTATAGTTGTAGATATGTTGTGTTGCCTCTGGTGCCTCTGTTTTGTTCCATTGTTCTATATCTCTGTTTTGGTACCAGTACCATGCTGTTTTGATTACTGTAGGCTTGTAGTATAGTTTGAAATCCGGTAGTGTGATGCCCCCCACTGTGTTCTTTTTGCTTAGAATTGACTTGGCTATGCGGGCTCTCTTTTGGTTCCATATGAAGCTCATGGTGGTTTTTTCCAGTTCCGTGAAGAAAGTCAATGGTAGCTTGATGGGGAGAGCATTGATTCTGTAAATTATTTTGGGCAGTATAGCCATTTTCACGATATTAATTCTGCCTAACCATGAACATGGAATGTTTCTCGATCTGTTTGTGTCCTCTCTGATTTCGTTGAGCAGTGGTTTGTAGTTCTCCTTGAAGAGGTCCCTTACGTTCCTTGTGAGTTGTATTCCAAGGTATTTTATTCTTTTTGTAGCAATTGTGAATGGCAGTTCGTTCTTGATTTGGCTTTCTTTAAGTCTGTTATTGGTGTAGACGAATGCTTGTGATTTTTGCACATTGATTTTATATCCTGAGACTTTGCTGAAGTTACTTATCAGTTTCAGGAGTTTTGGGGCTGAGGCTGAGAAGATCCCGATGGGGTCTTCTAGGTATACTATCATGTCGCTTGCAAATAGAGACAGTTTGGCTTCCACCTTTCCAATTTGAATACCCTTTATTTCTTTTTCTTGCCTGATTGCTCTGGCTAGAACTTCCAGTACTATATTGAATAGGAGTGGTGAAAGAGGGCATCCTTGTCTAGTGCCAGATTTCAAAGGGAATGCTTCCAGTTTTTGCCCATTCAGTATGATATTGGCTGTTGGTTTGTCATAAATAGCTTTTATTACTTTGAGATACGTTCCATCGATACCGAGTTTATTGAGGGTTTTTAGCATAAAGGGCTGTTGAATTTTGTCAAATCCCTTCTCTGCGTCAATTGAGATAATCATGTGGTTTTTGTTTTTGGTTCTGTTTATGTGGTGAATTACGTTGATAGACTTGCGTATGTTGAACCAGCCTTGCATCCCCGGGATGAATCCTACTTGATCATGATGAATAAGTTTTTTGATTTGCTGTTGCAATTGGCTTGCCAATATTTTATTGAAGATTTTTGCATCTATGTTTATCATGGATATTGGCCTGAAGTTTTCTTTTCTTGTTGGGTCTCTGCCGCATTTTGGTATCAGAATGATGTTGGTCTCGTAAAATGATTTGGGAAGGATTCCCTCTAGTACCTCTTTAAAGTTGCTAACTTGGAATACTCAGCTTCTATGCTCTTCCATATTTTTTCAAAGATGCTTCTCTCCATTTCTTCTGAGTATATATACTCAGTTAAAAGGCATGTAATTTAATAAGTAGAGCTCTAGGTGAACTCCATGGAGATCTGGGTTCTACTGATGGCTGCTTTTACTGATACAGTTCCTCTATCTCATGTTAATAGCTCCACTCTTGTGTCTGGAGAAATAGTCATACCTTCCTGCTCTTTGCGGAAGCTGAAGGAGAGATAGGAAACAACAATGACTGAAAAATGCAGAGGAAGAAGACTGCACAGTTCCTCAGTAGTAAAAGCTCCTTTGCTTTTTAGCTCCCAAGGATCTCAGCCTCATCAGAGGTGGCATTCCTTAGCATCCAGATAAAGGGGCCTACACAAGACTTCAGGAAGAGGAACACAGTTCTGCTAAAGAACGCCCAAAGTTTGGTCTTTGTCCAGACAGACAAACCCATCTATAAACCAGGACAGACAGGTATGTAGGGAAATTCCACCAGTTGGGTCAACACTGAGACAGAAGGGCCACCTGAGCCTCCAAAGTCTCCATTATCCTAGCCCCATAGCCTTCTGTCTTATTACCCAAATTACCTGCTTTGTTGTGTCTGAATCTTATCAGATAACTACTTTTTCAGTAAGATTCCGCATTGTCTCTGTGGATGAAAATTTTCACCCTCAAAATGAACTGGTAAGCATCCAATATCTATAGTTTGGATCAGGTGGTGGGGAGAGCAGGTAGAGTGGGAAAACTCATCCAGAGTGAGGTAGAAAGGTACAAAAAAGCAAGAGGATGAAAGACACTTGCTTTTGAACTTGCTCCAGCCCCAGCACAGATTTGCAGTCTTATACAACACAAAATTGAGGGACAACAGATGAGGAAGTTCTTTCTCTTACAACAGTAGTTAATCAGTCTGGCAATAGAGACACGTATTGCTCTGAACACACTGCATTAAGAATAATGAAGAAGCATAAAAGAGGTGCTACTCATATTCATACTTTCAATGAATTTATGATTAAAAAAGCAACAAAGAATTATACTTTTCTGAATATATAGGTATACACAATAGAATATATTATAATTTTATTACACAATCTATACACATAGTATAGCATCTATTATACACAAAGATTTTTTATGCTTATTGAATTTCCCTCTTTTCAACTCACCTTCAATATTAACGCAAAGGAACAAAGCTGCTTTTAATAGATAGAAAACAGACAATGTTAAAATTAGAAGAAATATCCTTGGTTTACTTTCAATCAAATAATTCTGGGAATTATCTTTCTGTTAGATTTAAACCATAATGACATATAACTCTATTAATATTTATTTCTTAATTTGTGAAAGCCATCAGTTGGTCACACTATTCACTAGGAGAATTTTAGTATCCAAATTATATTCATACATAAAGATTCAATAATATCATTCACCAATAATAATTTTCAGGGTCAATAATATCATTCACCAATAATAATTTTCAGAAAAATAGTAGCACATAATAATTGTGGAATATATTGTTTATGCTCATCCTGGAACTATTGAATAATTTTCCTGAGATTTTTTTTCAATTCTGTGATGTTTCTTGTTAAATTTTGCTACAGATAGGATTCTTCCTCAGTAAGTTGTTTGATCACAAGTCTGAAATTGTAGCCTTTGCTGGAATTCTAATCATGTATCTTCTTTCCTTTTATCATATAGATTCCACTGATATACATTGAGGTAAGTATCAGAAAAAGTATCTTATAAGGAAATTAGTACTTTTAGAGAGCAGGAGGTTCTGATAATATTTCAGATAGACGAACTACTCTAAAAGCTTCCAGATCTGCATTCCTCCTATTCCCAGTTGTCAGGTTGATTGTTTTTGTTTTTCTCTTCCTTCTGTGTTTATCTTTCCTGAGGCAATTCCAATTATCACTCTAAAAATCATTTGAGATGCTCAAGGACTATTATGACTAAATTATTACTCCCCATGCTTCTTGTTTACCTTCAGAATCCAAGAAGAAATCGAGTTGCACAATGGCAGAGTCTCAAGCTAGAGGGTGGCCTCAATCAATTGTCATTTCCCCTCTCATCAGAACCCATTCAGGGCTCCTACAAGGTGGTGGTACACACAGAATCAGGTGGAAGGATAGAGCATCCCTTCGCCGTGGAGGAATTTGGTATGGATTATGGAAGATGAAAAAGGCATGATGTTTTGATTGCTAGAGTGTGAGCTCACTTAGATCCCTTGAATTTCCCGTAGGTATGTTGAACTTGCAGTAGAGTCAAACATACCTGCTTTGAAGACTATTAGGTTTAGCTAATCAGCTACTGAATTTGCTGATTTTCAGTAGCAAATTATGCTTTGCCAAGTATGAAACTTCTTGTTTCAGTGAAACCACCATCATTTGTTAGTGTCACTGAGATCTGCTGTGCTCAAGAGGTCAGTTAGATTCTGCATGAACTGATAAACCTTACCATCTTAAAGTTGACACATTGAAAAATAAATCTAATATTCAGGGTATCACTTTGGGAAAAATTATTGATACACTGAAATTATTTGTATTTCCAATAAATGTTTACCATCTTCTTTATTCATATTATCTCTACTAACAGTGCTTTCCAAGTTTGAGGTCGAAATTCAGGTGCCAAAGATAATCAGCATCATGGATGAAAAAGTGAACATAACAGTATGTGGAAAGTGAGTTATATTGTTTTATCTATAATTTTATATTTTGCCTCAATTCTGAGTGGTTTTGTAGGTACAAAATTATAAATTTGTTTTCCCTTTGCACTTTCATAATATTGCTCCATTGGCTTCTCTTTGTTTAATGATTATTAAAATTTTCAAATACACAAAAGAATAGAAAGACCCTTAATTATGATTTAATGATAAACATCTTTCCACATTGTTTTGTTACATATTTTGCTTTAACATTTTAAGATAAGTCACAAAGATCATGATATTTGCTTCTATATGCAGTAGGATGTACCTCTAAAATACAGAGACATTTTTTCACTTACCATGATCACACCAAAATTAATTTTCCAAAACTGTTTCCAAGTTTAAAATCAAGTATCTTCAATTTTCCTAACAATTGTCTCATAAAGCTGGCTGTTCACACACAGGTTTTGGATATTATGACCCCTAAGTACCTTCTTTATCCAAATGCTCTACAGTGGAAATTTTCAATCATGTGCAAAAATTAACAGAGTATTAAAATATAATTTCATGTACCTATCACCTATTTTAAAAATTTGCCAGGTTTTTTTTTGCCCCATTTCCTCCCCTATGTAGTTTTTAGCTCTAATACTTTGAAGAAAGTCATAGGAAGCTATAAATATCTTAAAGGTTTTAAATCTATAACCTCCTTTTTTTAATGACATTTCACTGAAGATCATTATTTGGCCTCTAAATGTCTTGCTTACTAAATCTGCCTTCTTGTTTCCTCATGGAACATTGAATTAATTATGCCTCATCTTTCCTCTGGGCAACTCTAAGAGGATACATTGAATGTTTTATGTTGATCTTTTGTCAAAGAAGAATTGTTTAATAACCAGAAATAGTGCAGTGATAGAACAAATTTTTTAATAACCTGAAATACTCTCTCCTCAGATTTTTATACTCCAGGCAATTTCACTTTCTCCTTTTCTTCATATGTGTGCCATAAATACTAATCCTCTATTGAGGAAAGAGGATGAGCTAATACAATGGACCAAAAATGTGACAGGGAAGCCTTAAGCTCACAGGTCACAATTACTGGGCAAAGCCAATAATTAGGATTTTATAGGAGTGATTTAGACCTAATATCAATGATCCAGTGACTGATGTCATGATTAGGAAGGGTACTAGACCCAGAATCAGCAGTGATGAGTGTGCATCCCCCACCAGAACTTACCGCTTTAACTCAGCATTCTGCTGCTTCTCTGAACCTCTATCCCTTAAGCGGTAGACAGAGGGCATGAACTTGACCCATGAGGTTCCTTTCCACTGTTGCCCTCTGTGATTACAGATACCTCTTACAGTTTCTTTTAACCTGGAAAAGCCAAACTGATTGCCTACAAGCAGTCCCAGAGAAAGCATGCAGGGTAAAGAAATACGCTGGCCTAGATATTCTATACCAGAAACACCAAAATGCCTAGGCCTCTGCCTTATTTCAGCCTCAGAGCAATGGCCAAGGAGTTATGTGTCTAACTTGGTAGTGCCCTGTTGCAGATGTCTATATCTTGGAGAGGAGTTTCAGAAAAAGCTCTTTTGATTCTATCTTTTTATTTAAAGTGATTTCAGAGGCATTTGCAAAGAGAAAAGAAAACTAATGTCCCAAGCAAAATATTGTTTATTATTCTATTACCTATCTTCTGAGAGAAAGAACTAATATAACACGTGCACACACATATCCCCACAAATTATTTTGTTTTTACATGCCTCATGGTGTTCCTCGGCCTCTTTTTCTCCCTCTCTCCCCTCTCTTCTCTGTGCGTGTGTGTAAAAGTGCACTTGTTTTTTCATGTGGGCGCATTTTCTGTTAGATTTGCTTAGTTATTATGTACTTATTTTTATTCAGTTTGTCATCTAAATTTGTTCACGTGGTATACAGAATAAGCTTAGATATTATTAAAGCAAAATAAAAAAGAATGATAGAAGATAAATAGATTAAAAGAAAGAAAACATGTTTTAAGTGACAGAGTCTCTCACCCAGGTTGGAGTGCAGTGGAGCAATCTTAGCTCACTGTAGCCTCACACTCCTGGGCTTATGTGAATCTCCCACCTAAAGCTCCTAAGTAGCTAGGACTGCAGGTGTGTGTCACCATACCAGCTAATTTTTTTTTTAAATGTTGTAGAGACTGGGTCCTGCTGTGTTACGCATGCTAGTCGGCAACTTTTGGCCTCAAGCGATCCTTCTTCTTGGCTTCCCAAAGCATTGGGGTTGTAGGCATGAGTCACTGCACCTAGACAAATGGGAAAAAAATTAATTCCAAAGAAAATGTGGTGGTACAGTGCAGTCTAGTTTCAAAGTATTATCCATTTTTAATGGATGATAGATGCATAGGGAACTGACTGGTAGTGGAAAATGCAAATAGCTTTTCTCAATTCCTAATTTATTTCTCATATGCCAGATACACCTATGGGAAGCCTGTCCCAGGACTTGCGACTGTGAGCCTGTGTAGAAAATATTTTCCTGTTTCTTATTGTGCTCCCAAGGAAATCTGTGAGGAATTCAGTCAACAGGTTAGTATGTGGTATTCTCTCTCAATGCTGTCACTTTTTACAAACAGTGAGAGACTCCATTTTATGAACTAGAAATAGGGTATCAGGAGAAGCTCATCCCAAAATAACCACAACCAAAAAAGGAATTTCTGTTCTTAGTCCTTTGAATGACTAACTTTGGAGGTTACAAAGCAGATTATTGAAGGTTATTGAGTTATTGAAGGTCAATTAACATGCTTACCACAAAAAAAAGTTTTCTTGTCATTATAGAGAGAACAGTAGATTTAGCGACTATTAGTCTTAATCTGTATGATATTTATTGGTTTTGGTATTTTTCTCAGCTCAACAGCAATGGCTGCATCACCCAACAAGTACAAGCAAATCTGCTCCAGATTAAAAACACAGGCTTTGAAATGAAGCTCAGAGTGGAAGCCAGGATCAGAGAAGAGGGAACAGGTGTGAGTACTGAATGAATATGGGAAATAAAACAATAAACCTTAATTTACTTCCTATAACAAAATAAGGGTCATTTGTAGGAAAGAAATTTTAGAAATAAAGTAATGTCTAAAAGTACTGACTCTTCATATTTTTTAGATGTGGTAGTCACTACAAATGGGATCAGTGAAATCACAAACGTTGCATCCAAACTCATATTCGTGAAAGTGGATTCACACTTTAGACGAGGAATCCCCTTTTTTGGACAGGTAGGATATTTTAATTCACAGGTAAGCAAACTGTCCAGATGCACCTAAGCCCAGGGCACAGTGTTGCAGCCCACATTTGGTTAGTATTACCAGTTAATTAATATGACCAAAACCATGAAACCAAGGAGAAATACTTTCCTTTCTAAATATCACTGATGAAATGTACAGACACACACTAAACTATTATGAGAATCAGACATCTCTTTTCATATGTAGCTAATAAAGATACTTAACTTAATGTTCTTAGTTATATCAGATTTCCTCTTTCATCTAGTTTTGAATAAATGATATTTCTGTCATGACTCAGCCAGCATCAGAAGTTTCAGAGTTTATAACATTTATGGCTGTCTGTGTCCTTTTTTCATCTGTTATTCTCTTTAGACATAAGTAAATAAGTTTAATTTTAGGCAGAGGTATTAAAATAGTGTACCTTTCATAGGTATTATTATTGTATTGTTTATATGTTTAATGTATATATTTTAATAATAACAAAACAAATAAAATATTAATTTTATTTATAGAAATAATTTTACCAGTTTTATATTTAGTAAATAAGACATTTGACCAGACATAGTGGCTCATGCTCATAATCCCAGCACTTTGGGAGGCTAGGGTGGGGGGTGGGGTGGGGAGGATCACCTGAGGCCAGGAGTTCTAGCTCAGCCCGGGCAACATAGTGAGACTTTGCCTCTACAAAAAAAAAAAAAAAAAAAAAAAAAAAAGTAGCAGCGGTCTGTTGGCTACTTCCCAGCTACTTGAAAAGTCGAGGCTGGAGGATCCCTTGAGCTCAGAACTTTGATGCTGCTGTGAGCTATGATGGTACCACTGCACTCCAGCCTGGGCAACAGAGAAAGACCTGTTGTGGAAGAAAAGAAAAGAAGAAAAGGAAAGGGAATGGGAAAAGGCAGAGAAGGAAAACAGGGAAGAAGGGAAGGGAAGAGAAGGGGAGGGAAGGGGAAGGGAGGGGAGAGGAGGGCAGGACAGGGAAGGGCAGGGAAGGGAAGGGAAGGGAAGGGAAGGGAAGGGAAGGGAAGGGAAGGGAAGGGAAGGGAAGGGAAAGGAAGGGAAGGGAAGGGAAGGGAAAAAACTTTCTCATGTGGGTTTTTTTAGGTGATTTGTTGTAGGAGATAAAAATAATGTTATTAACTAACGTTTATGGAATAATTACCATATACCAAATATCTCCTAATGTATTTTTATTATTTAAAAAATTTTTAAATTGATACATCATAATATCAGTTTGGGGGAGTACATGTGATTATTTAATACATTCAAATAATTTGTCAAGAACCAATAAGTATAATTGAGATATTCATCACCTTAAATATTTGTCCTTTTTCTGTTAAAAATTCAAATGATTCTCTTCTGGCTATTTTTAAATCACAACAGATTATTGCAAACTATAGTCACCCTACTCCTCTAATGTATTTTTAAATAATTATTTAATCTTCAATACTACCATATGAAGGGGGCAATATTATCATCCCCCTTTTAATGAAGGTGGAAAACTGAAGCACAGAGAAGTGACTTTTTTAGCTGCCAGACTAGAGTTCAGTATGCAGCCAAACATTCCAGCCTCCATCTATATGAAAAGGGGAAAACAGCCAGTTTAAATTCATTTCTGTTTTTCTAACTCCAGGTGCATATTAAGTGGCTTGTAGTTATTAAAAGCCTCCCTGATTCTAATGGAAATACTCCAAAGTTTCATAAATAAGCTATGTAGGAATGAGGATCCAAATAGGAGGAAATATTCTGTAGTAAATATGAAGGTTTGCTGGGTTTTCTGGGCAGGGAAGAGGTTGTTGTTTTAGTTATAGCAGCAAAAGCATTTGTTGCCATGACTTCAGTCCTCTTTGGATGTTATCCACATCAACTACCAAGTACTTTTCTTCTTTAGGTGCTTCTGGTGGATGGGAAAGGTGTGCCCATCCCCAATAAACTCATCTTCATCTCTGTGAATGAAGCCAATTATCACTTTAATACAACCACCAATGAACAGGGGCTTGTACAGTTTTCAATCGATACTACTAATATCTTGGCCAATAATCTTTTTGTCACGGTAAGTATGGAAAGACAAACCTCTGAGGTCAAAAGGAAATATTAAGAACAGTGACATATTCAGAAGTGAAGAAACACACAGATTGCATTTAAGAGTAAGAAATAAGAACATATATAGCTTTGAGGTTATAAATTTGCAGATAATAGAATTTTATGGAAAATAATTAAGGCATTAGAAAAGACACTACAGGAGAGGCTGAGGCAGGCGGATCACAAGGTCGAGAGATCGAGACCATCCTGGCCAACATGGTGAAATCCCGTCTCTACTAAAAGAATACAAAAATTAGCTGGGCATGGTGGAGCATGCCTGCAGTCCCAGCTACTTGGGAGGCTGAGGCAGGAGAATTGCTTCAACCCGGGAGGTGTATGTTGCAGTGAGCCGAGATCGCGCCACTGCACTTCAGCCTGGTGCCTGGCAACGGAGCGAGACTCTGTCTCAAAAAAAAAAAAAGGCACAAAATTGCCTGATCATTTCACTATCATTATCTATAGCTTCAGTAATTTATGTAATTTGTTTTATGTTTTTTTCCATGTGTACTTAGAAATTTTGTAAAGTGATCACACACACACACAATACACATTGTCTAATAATGATGATGGAAACATTTCTATAGCTAAAAAGTTTTCATGCTTGCTATCTCAGACAAAGATGTTATAAAAGACCACAATTCATGGATTTCATGTAGATAAATAACATAAATTATTTCTGTTTCTTAATGTTTACTTGTTAATTCAGTTTAAAAATATGTAATGATGTTTAATGTTTTCTATGTGATAGACACTTGCTTCCCCTAGGATTTAAAAGGTGAATAGTGTCCCTACACTTTAAAATTCCTATTTTCATAGAGTTAACAGATCTGTGAATTATTAGTATGATGTGCTTACATGCAAAAGGTTTTAATTAAAATAGGAACTTTATTATGAGAGCAAATAGAAGAGTCCATAACATATGCCTAGTAAATTTAGGAAAAAATAAGTGCAGTCTGAAGAAAAGCTAAGGAGCAGTTACCACGAGGGAAATGGATAGAACTGTGTGCTAAGCAATACATGCAAAAGACTTAAAGTTTCAGAAACCACATAGGTCTTAAAGGTTGGAAGTCGCAATAATGATAAGAGGCATAAATGCTAATTTACTAACGATTACTATAAACAGTTTTGAAGCCCTTAAGGTAATAGAATGTTATATTAATATAAAACCTAATTTTAATTAAGCCAATTTATGAGGTAATTCTAATACCTGAAAAATCCCATTTCCACTTGTTGGAGTTATTTATCATTCTCACTGGGACATCATTTTTCTTTTAGTTCTGAGGGGCAGAAAGAAAATGTCAAAGTAGTAATGAGTTAGCAGAATCAGGGCAAAAGAGAGAAGTTTGTGGATTATTTCCTTTTATTTGAATGTTGGGAGGCTGAAAATTTATTTATTTCACTGTCAACCAGTCTGAGGGAGTGCCATAGTGTATTTTAGAGTGGAAGACACAGTTTTAACTATTCATTTTGGTGAGAAGCTAAGGCGAAGAATTTCAAGACAATATTCTTACTTTGTTTTGGTGTTTGCTCAGGTTTCCAGTGAGCGTCCCAGCTTTTGTTTTCCCTATTCATGGATAACAGAAGTCCACCAGCATGCTCAGCACACTGCAAGTCATGTTTTCTCCTTAAGTGGGAGTTACGTTGACCTGGAGCCTGTGGCTGGTACTCTGCCCTGTGGCCACACACAGACTATCAGGGCACACTATATGCTGAAGAGACAGGCCGTGCGAGAGCTGTCGGAGTTCAGTTTCCATTATCTGGTAAGAATGAAGCCGTGGAATACAATTGCAGCTTGTCAGTAGGCAAAAGTGATCAATACGCTCAGGAATGTCAAAATAAACGACTTGCACACAGCTATGTTGCGTTCTTGTTGTGCGTCCTTCAATCCGTGAGTTTTCATGAAGTTGATTCTCTCCAGCAGAGACTTGACAACTGAAAGTGAGTCATTTTTTTTTTTAAGGAATATACTTTATTAATATACCTCCCAAACAGTAAAATGCCAAAGACTAAAATACTAACATTCAGCTAAATTATAACAACTATTTACAGAGCACTGTCTGTGAGCCACGTGGGGCTGAGCCCAGTTCTCCCCCAGTCACCCACCCAGCCCATCCTCCGAACAGGCTTGGGGCCATTGGCGCATGTGCGATGAGTCGCGGCCGAGGGCGGCACTGGGCAGGAGCCACCATGGCAGCCGAGCGCAAGACAAAGTTGTCCAAGAATCTGCTACGCATGAAGTTTATACAAAGGGGACTGGACTCAGAAACCAAGAAACAACTGGAAGAGGAAGAAAAGAAAATCATTAGTGAAGAGCACTGGTACTTGGATTTGCCAGAGCTTAACGAGAGAGTTTCATAATAGAAGAGCTGAGTTTCTTATTATGTGAAGATCTTCTCTATGGAAGAATGTCATTCAGATGATTTAATCCTGAGGTTGAGAAATTGATGCTTCATGTGAATGCTAAGCACAAAGCAGAAGAAGTTGAAGATGAAGCAGTGGAACCCGATGCGTCAGATAAAGAGATGGCTAGAAGATATGAGACCTTGGTGGGGACAATTGGGAAAAAGTTTGCCAGAAAGAGACCATGCCAATTACGAAGAAGGTGAAAATGAAAACATACAACCGATTAAAGCAAAGAAGATGTTCTTAAAGCCCCAGGATTAAGATGGATGCCTTAAGCCATGGCCCACGGGAGCTTCATGGAAGTCAGCGGTGGATCTGGGGCTCACCACAATGGTGTCTCTGTAGTTATTAATACTGTAATGTTTACTTTGTAAAGAGATGTATCATTTTAGAAACATGCTGTTTTTGAAACAGATGTTGATGGATGTTGTACATCCGTGGCTTAATGATGTTCATTCAGAGTGGATTTTTAGCCCCCTGATCTTCAAATGTACATTGTTAGAGGGCTCCTTCCTGAAGAGTTTTTTGACCTCTGGTTTCTCTTAATACAGTTCTCCAGTCACTGACCTTGAATTGACTCTGTAAACTAATGCCAAAGTTTAAACTGCCCTTTATTATATTTATCAAGAATAAACACGCCTCTCTGGACTTAAGTATTTACATGCTACCAGGTCATTGTCAGTTTATGGTATTATGTTGCTTTATTTAAAGCAATGAATTAATAGAAAAAATTTTTCTGTAATAAAAATCTACTTTGACATGAAAAAAAAAAAAAAAGAAAGTGAGTTATGAGGGGATAGGTTGCTGAGATCTGTGTCCAGCTCAAGAAAAGTTTTTTTACTGTTTTTTCATTTCAGATCATGGCTAAAGGAGGCATAGTCAGATCTGGAACCCACACTCTGCCTGTGGAGTCAGGAGACAGTGAGTATCCTCAGGTTCATCTCTCCCTGCTTCCCTAACACGTCCTTACCCTTCCTTCAGTGACAGTTCACCAATAGGGAAATCATTTCTATCACCTCTTCACAGTAAGGAGGACACACAGGAAAATGCTCTCCTTGTGACTCTTTGGCATTTTAAAATTCAACACTGAACAGGTAAATTTTGTTTTCTACTCTGTATCAGTCACTCTGCAAAAGGACACTATTTTTTCACTTTAGTTTGTTTCTTCTAACAGTAAAATGAAAATCTTTTTAAAATCTAAGCTTACTTCTATTCATCTCCACCCCTAATGAAATGTACATTGATTATGTTAATATTGCAGAGAACAGAGTAATTATCATGGGAATGGGAAGGAAGAAACGTGCTAGATTTTTTTTTTCTGTGCCAGACCATGAGTACATTATACATGAAATTGGATTCCCTTCAAGAATAAAATGGGGACTAAGGAACCAAGAGTATTTTCCACTGTAAGTCAAATAATGTAGAGGTTAAACCACTGAAAAGAGAACCCATGAACATTTTTGTAATTAAGCTAAACTAAGGCAAACAGTTTACCAATTTTCACTGCACCCCTGAGCTAAACTTAATAACCATTAGGATTTGCTGCATGCCTATTTTCTCTTTTTGTGTTTTCTCTTCCTGCTAAGCTGGAAAAATAAAATATCCATTTTTAATTTTTATTTTTCAATTTTGAAAACTGAAACAATTTTGAGAAGGTTGAAATATACAAGTTATTAATCAGTACTCTAATAATTAATAATTATTTTAATTAAGCATTAAAGACTGCTGCCAGTTTTGAATATTGGTTTTTCCCGCTTCTAGTGCAGAGACATTTAGATATGGAGACTGGAGCCCAATGTGTAGATTGTTCCCCCTCAATTCTTGTTGAATAATTTTCTTCTAATACTGCTATATGTATCACGTTCACAGCAATAATCGAAGGTTTTAAAATATTTATTTTTTCTTTTCTAATATTTCAACTTTAATTTTCTTCGAAGAGCCTGTGTAAAAATCTCTATATAGTAAAATGAGGAATAGTTATTTAATTATTTACTTTGTGAAGATGCCACATTTTATTGAAAGTAATTGACTCAATTAGAAAAAATTTCTCTATATAGCTAATTACATCAATTGTTTCATCAAAAAACAATGTTAACCACATATTTTAATACTTATTAATTACTGATTTACTTTTCACTGAAGAATTGTTGAAAGCTCTTACACCTCTAAGATACAAGAATTTTGTTCACAATTTGCCTAAATTCAAATTTTTAAAACTTTTCAAATTGTCCAAGTTGAGCTTCCTCATGGTGTTTTCTTTTTACACTATTCTTCATACTACCCAAATTATTATTCCTAAACTATTTGTCTGTTTAATTTTCAGAATTCAGATTTTAAATAATGAAGCCTTCTCAAATTTTACCATTTATTTTTATTTTATTTTTTAATCTTTTATTTTAGGTTTGAAGGATACATGTGCAGGTTTGTTAATGTAGGTAAACTCATGTCACAGGGATTATCGTTCAGATTATTTCATTACCCAGGTTCTAAGCCTAGTACTCAATAGTTATTTTGTCTAATCTTCTTCTTCCACCCACCCTCCACCCTCCAGTAGGCCTCATTGTCTTCTGCTCTCCCTCCTCCCACCTTCCACCCTCAGACAGACCCCACCGTGTGTTGTTCTCCTCTTTGTAGCCATATGTTCTCATCATTTAGTTCCCACTTATAACTGCGAATGTGCAGTATTTGGTTTTCTGTTCCTGCATTATTTTGCTAAGAGTAATAGCTTCTAGCTCCATCTATGTTCCTGCAAAGGACATGATAGTGTACTTTTTTATGGCTGCATAGTTCCATGGTGTATATGTACCACATTTTCTTTATCCAGTCTTCCACTGATGGGCATTTATGTTGATTCCATGTCTTTGCTATTGTGAATAGGGTTGCAATGAACATAAGTGTGCATGTGTCTTTATGACAGAACAATTTCTATTCTTTGGGAATATACCCAGTACTGAAATTCTTGACTCAAATGATAGTTTTGTTTTTAGCTCTTTGAGGAATTGCCACACTGCTTTCCACAATGGCTGAACTAATTTACATTCCCATCAGCAGTGTATAAGCATTCCCCTTTCTCCACAACCTTGGCAATATCTGTTATTTTTTGACTTTTAATGATAGCCATTCTGACTGATGTGAGATGATATGTCATTGTGGTTTTTATTTGCATTTCTCTAATATTCGGTTGTATTTAGCTTTTTTCATTTGCTTGTTGGCCACATGTATATCTTCTTTTGAAAAGTGTTTATTCATGTTGTTCGCCCACTTTTTAATGTGGTGGTTTGTTTTTTCCTTGTAAATTTGTTTAAATTTCATAGATGGTGGATACTAGACCTTTATTGGATGCATAGTTTGCAAGAGTTTTCTCTCATTCTCTAAGTTGTCTGTTTACTCTACGGATAGTTTCTTTGGCTGTGCAAAAGAAGGTCATTAGGTTAATTAGATACCATTTGTCAATTTTTGCTTTTGTCGCAATTGCTTTAAGCCTTTTCTTCATGAAATCTTTTCAGTTCCTATGTCCAGAATGGTATTGTCTAGGTTGTCTTCCAGAGTTTGTATACTTTTTGGGTTTATATTTCAGTCTTTAACCCATCTTGAGTTGATTTTTGTATTGTATAAGGAAGGGGTCCAGTTTCAGTCTTCTGCCTATGACTAGCCAGTTATCTCAGCACCATTTATTGAATAGGGAGTCCTTTCCTTGTGTTTGTCAGGTTTCTTGAAGATCAGATGATTGTAGGTGTGCAATATTATTTCTGGTCTCTGTATTCTGTCCCATTGATCTGTTTGTCTGTTTTTGTACCAGTACCATGCTGTTTTGGTAACTGTAGCCCTTTAGTTTAGTTTGAAGTTGAGTAGCATGATGTATCCTCCTTTGTTCTTTTTGCTTAGGATTGCCTAGGCTATTTGGTCTTTTTCTTAGTTCCATATGAATTTTAAAACAGTTTTTTCTAGGTCTGTGAAGGATGCCATTGGTCATTTGGTAGGAATAGTGTTGAATCTATAAGTTGCTTTGGGCAATATGACCATTTTCATGATACTTATTCTTCCTATCCATGAGCATGGAATATTTTTCCATTCGTTTGTGTCATCTCTGATTTCCTTGAGCAGTGTTTTATAATTCTCATTGTAGAGATCTTTTGCCTCCCTGGTTAGCTGTATTTCTAAGTATTTTATTCTTTTTGTGACAGTTGTAAATGGAATTGCATTCCTGATTTGGCTGTTGGCTTGGCTATTGTTGATACAGGAATGCTAGTAATTTTTGCAAATGATTTTATATCCTGAAATTTTGCTAATGTCACTTCTCAGCTTAAGGAGCTTTTGGGCCAAGACTATAGGGTTTTCTAGATATAGAATCATGTCATCTGCAAACACAGATAGTTTGACTTCATTTCTTTCTATTTGGATGCCCTTTATTTCTTTGTCTTGCCTGATTGCTCTGGCCAGGACTTCCAATACTGTGTTGAATAGAAATGGCGAAAGAGGACATCCTTGTCTTGTGCCAGTTTTTAAGGAGAATGCTTCCAGCTTTTCCCCATTCAGTATGATGTTGACTGTGAGATTGTCATAAGTGGCTCTTATTATTTTGAGATATGTTCTTTCAATAACCATTTTATTGGGAGTTTTTAACATGAAGAGGTGTTGAATTTTACTGAAATCCTTTTCTGCATCTATTGAGGTAACCATAGGTTTTTGTCTTTAGTTCTGTTTCTATGATGAATCGCCTTTATTGATTTGCATATGTTGAATCAACCTTGTATCCCAGGGATGAAGTCTACTTGATCATGGTGGATAAGCTTTTTGATGTGCTGCTGGATTTGGTTTGCAAATATTTTGTTGAGGATTTTTGCATCAGTGTTCATCAAGGATGTTTGGTCAGACTATTTTTTATGTGAATCCCACTTCTCCTCATTGAGAGGACCCCACAACCTGGGACTCCAGCTGCCACCACCCCACCCCCATCAGGGTTTTCAGGCTGGTAGCAACTCAACATTTCCCAGAGACAGAACTCAGAGAAGGAGAGGCTGGCTGCCATTTTTTCTCTCTTGCAGACTCCATTGCTGTAACTTTCAGGCTCTGAAGAGCAAGTAGGGATTAGGGTGTGGCATGGATTCCCTGCACAGCACAGCTGACCCACTAGTTCTTTTAGTTGCAATGTAAGGTTGTTAATTTGAGGTCTTTCTTTTTGATGTGAACATTTAGTGCTCTAAGTTTCTCTCTTAACACTGCCTTAGCTGTGTCCCAGAAATCCTGGTATATTGTATCTTTTTGCTCATTAGTTTCAAAAACTTCCTGATTTGTGCCTAAATTTTATTATTTGCCCAAACATCATGCAGGAGCAGGTTGTTTAATTTATATGTAATTGTATGATTTTGAGAGATTTTCTTCATATTGAATTATATTTTAAACATATGGTGATCCAAGAGTGTGGGTTGTATGATTTCACTTTTCTTAATTTGCTGAGGATTGTTTTATGTCTGATTGTGTGATCGATTTTAGAGTAGTGCCATATGCAGTTGAAAATAATGTACTTGCTATTATTTTGGGGTGGATAGTTCTGTAGAGGTCTATCAGATCCATTTTGATCCAGTGCTGAGCTCAGATCCTAAGTGTCTTTGTTAATTTTCTGCCATGATGATCTGTCTATTACTGTCAGTGGAGTGTGGAAGTTTCTCAATATTATTGTGTTGGAGTCTAAGTCTCTTTGAATGTCTCTAAGAACTTGTTTTATGAATCTGGGAGCTCCTGTGTTGGGTGCATATAGATTTTGTTTAGTTAGGTCTTCTTGATGAATGAAACCCTTTACCATTATGCAATTCCCTCCTTTGTCTTTTGTGTGTGTGTGCTTTCTTGGTTTAAAGTCTGTTTTGTCTGAAATTAGTCTTGCAATCCCTGCTTTTTTCTAATTTCCATTTGCTTGGCAGGTTTTTCTCCTTCCCTTTATCTTGAGCTTATGGGTGTCACTGCATGTGAGATGGGTCTCTTAAAGACAGCATACCACTGGGTCTTACTTCTTCCTCCAGCTTGCCACTGTGCCTCTTGAGGCATTTAGTCTGTTTAAATTTGAGGTTAATATTTAGATGTGTGAATTTGAAACTGTCATCACATTGTTAGCTGTCTGTCAACTTGTTTGTGTAGTTGCTCTATAGTGTCACTGGTCTGTGTACTTCAGTGTGTTTTCGTAGTGGCTGGTAATAGTCTCTCCATTTTATATTTAGTGCCTCTTTCTAGAGCTCATAGAAGATGGGTTCAGTGATAACAAATTCCTTCAGCATTTGCTTGTCTGAGAAGGATCTTATTTCTCCTTCACTTATGAAGTTTAGTTCGGCTACATATGAAATTTTTGGTTGACATTTCTTTTCCTTAAGAATATTGGCTGGGCTCAGTGGCTCATGCCTGTAATCCCAGCACTTTGGGTGTTTGAGGTGGGCAGATCATGAGGTCAGGAGAAGGAGACCATCCTGGCCAACATGATGAAACCCCATCTCTACCAATAATACAAAAATTAACTGGGTGTGGTAGTGTGCACCTGTACTCCCAGCTACTCAGGGGGCTGAAGGAGAAGAGCTACTTGAACCTGGGAGGTAGAAGTTACAGTGAGCCGAGATCTTGCCACAGCACTCCAGCCTGGTGACAGAGTAAGACTCCGTCTCAAAAAAAAAAAAAAAAAAAAAAAAGGCTCCCAATCTTCTATAACTTGTAAGGTGTCTGCTAAGAGCCACACTATTAATCTGATGAGCTTCCCTTTGTAGGTGACTTGTTCTTTCTCTCTGGCTGCCTTTAACACTTTTTTTTTCTTTCATTTCAACCTTGGCGAATGTGATGATTACATGTCTTAGGGATGACCTTCTTGTGAAGTATATTTTGGGGTTCTCTGTATTTCCTGAATTCAAATTTGGCCTCTCTAGTTAGGAGGGGAAGTTTTCATGGATGATATCATAAAATATGTTTTCCAAGTTGCTTTCGTTCTGCTTATCTCTTTCAGGGACACCAAGAAGATTAGATTCAGTCTTTTTACAAACATAATCAATCCCACATTTCTCAGAGGTTTTGTTCATTCCTTTTCATTCTTTTTTCTTTATTCTTGTCTGACTGTTGTATTTCCGAAAGTCAATCTTGTAGCTCTGGGATTCTTTCCTCAACTTGATCCATACTGCTGTTAATACTTGTGATTGCATTATGAAATTCTTGTAGAATGTTGTTCAGCTCTGTCAGGTTGGTTATGTTCCTTTCTCTACTGATTATTGTGTCTGTCAGCTCCTGCATCATTTTATTGTGATTCTTAGCTTCTTAGATTGGGTTTCAACATTCTCCTGACTCTCAATGATCTTCATTCCTATCCACATTCTGAATTATATTTCTGTCATTTCAGCCATCTCAGCCCAGTTAAGAACCCTTGCTGGAAAACTAGTGTGATTGTTTGGAGGAAAAAAGATGCTCTGGCTTTCTGAGTTGTCAGAGTTCTTGTGCTGGTTCTTTCTCATCTTCGTGAGTTGATGTTTCTTCAGTCTTAGAAATTGCTGTTGTTTGCCAGGCACAGTGGCCCATGCCTGTAATCCCTGCACTTTGGGAGGTTGAGGTGGGCAGATCATCTGTGGTCGGGAGTTCAAGACCAGCCTGACCAACATGGAGAAACCCCATCTCTACTAAAAATAGAAAATTAGCTGGGTGTGGTAGCTCATGCCTGTAATCCCAGCTACTTGGGAGCCTGAGGCAGGAGAATCATGGAGGCAGAGGCTGTGGTGAGCCGAAATTGTATCATTGCACTCCAGCCTGGGTGACAGAACAAAACTCTGTCTTTAAAAGAAAAAGAAAAAAGAAATTGCTGTTGTTTCAATTTTTTCCTTTTATCTTATTTGATGACCTTGGGGGTTTGATTATGGTATAAGGTGGCTTCAGTTAACTGACTTTGTTACCAGAAGATTCATGGGCAGTAGGGACAGGGAGGGGCAAGCCTTTGCTCGGACTCCTGGATTGAATGCTATAACTCTTAGAAACTGGTATCTGGCTCCAACTTTGTTCTCTGGCTCCTCGAGGTTAGGAACCTGCTGCACTAAAGGGGCCAAGGTACTCCCAGACCACTGATCACAAGACTCCCATGGGTGATGTCAGCCAAAGCACTTTGCAGGACAGTGGCAGTGGGATCAATCCTCATTCACATGTACCAGCAGCAGAGGCAGTGGCAGAGTGGTGGAGTACACCCTCATCAGCTATAGCAGGGTGTTAGCAGGCACCAAGTTTCTGGCCCTCGTGCAGGCATTCACAGCAGTGGTCATGGCAGTATGACTCAGAGGATTGGGGGATCCCCACCAGCAACTGTGCATGCATTTACATTGATGGTGGTGTTAGCATGGGGGTGGGGTGCTGGTGGGTGCAGGACTGTATGAATCTTTTGTGTGCATTCACACTGGCAGCAGTATCTGCATGTGGCTAGGGGTGGGTCTGCGTTTTGTGCCTAGTTTTGCACTGGCAGCCCCAGTGCAGGGGCAGAGTCCTAGCAGAGGTGGGTTGGTGGACTAAGTGCCTGCCAGTGCTCTGATGTCAGTGGCAGTGTGATGGGGTAGGGAGCGATGGAGTGTACTCAGGCTGCCAGCAGTGGCAAGGCAGGGTGCATGCACACATATGTGCTGGGAAATTTTATTATTAAAAGGTTTAATTTCCTATCACTATTCTTTTCAATAAAGTCACCATATTTTTTTTGCTGTCTTTATGACGTTTCAATCTACCCCACCTTACATGTTGAACTCAAGACACAATGATAGAAGGGCTTCCTTCCTTTTAGAAAAGGAACCTATTTCCTTTTTGAGGTTTGAGCTAAATCTTGATCTGTCCATCTGAACAGAAATATGAATGGCATGACACAGCCTTAATGATATATTAAACTTCCTTTCTTCTCAAGCTTAGAGTTTTGACGTATAAATACATAGTGATATAAAATAATAAGTAATGTTAGGCTAACATAAAATTTACATAAAGTTGGGAAAATTCTGTATTCTACATAGAGTTAAAACAGTTTTTAATTGAGAACCACCCATCTCAGGGCTTTAATATCATTATTTTTAAAAAGGAAATTTTGTCTGTGTACAGTGGCTGCTCCCTGTAATCACAGCACTTTGGGAGAATTGCTTGAACTCAGGAGTTTTGGACCAGCCTACGATACATAGCAAGACCCTATCTCTACAAAAATATATAAAAAATTAGCCAAACATGGTGTTGTGCACCTGTAATCCCAGCTACTGGGGAGGCTGAAGCAGTACAATCACATGAACCCAGAATTTCGAGCTATGATTGCACCACTGCATTCCAGCCTGGGAAACAGAGCAAGACCCTGTCTCAAAAAAATTGCATTTATGTGTACAACATAACATTATGGGACACATATAGATAGTAAAATGGCCACTACAGTGATGTAAAGTAACATGGCCATCATCTCACCTACTTACTCATTTGTGTTTGTGCATGTGTCAAGAACAGCTAAAATGTACTCATTTAGCAGAAATCTAAAATATACTACCATTTTATTAACTACAGTCTTCATGTTATGTATTAGATAGCTAGCCTTGTTTATCCTGATATTATATTACACTTTGTAAAACATTTCTAAGGATATTAGACTTAATTTTTAACACATACGGTCAAGAAAAAATAAAATCAATTATAGTTCTTCTACAGTTATGATTGTCCTTGTCCTACATTACTATTTTGAGTTTCAACAATGTCTAGAGACTCTGTTACCATATGTATTGTCTAACTTCACCAAAAATAAGTTACTGGAAAACAACTTGGAAGCACAGAAATTTAAAGCAATATAGCTGAGAATCTGGGACAGGAGAGATGTATAGGAAAGGAAGATGCACAACCAACACCAGCTGGTATCTGTCTTCTCTTTATGTACCAACATCCCAGAACCTTTGCTGTCCTTAAGTCTCTTGTGGTTGTATAATTACCATTATTCAACTAAATGTGGGACATCTACTCAAGTTACCAGTGGACTGTTCAGAAAATGGAACTTTTGTTGTTACCCTTTTGTAACTACGTGATGGCCCATTAGCCTGCTTTAAAATGTAATGTATTTTCTGAAGTGTTTTCTGGTACCATTTAATACTTTCAGTAGAAATATACTAATGTACTTATAAGAGTTTAACACTGCAATGAAAACTCTAAAAGTTAAATATTCTTTTAGGAAGTTCAACTAGTATGAACTTTTTTTTTTTTTTACATACGGAGCTTCTTAAAAGTCATATATTATAAAATAAACTCATAATATCTTACAAATTATACCTCTATATTTAAATTGAGAATCACCTCTAGTCTGAAATGTAAATAAAATAGTCACATATATATGCATAAAATTTGGAGCTACTGATATTTAATTGATTAAGGCAACAGTTAAGTGGAATATCAGATTAAAAAAATATGAGTGAAAGGAACTTTGTTAACTTATGCTACAAGTGAAGTTCTGAAGGGATACATTGGCCTACTAATTTCACCACATAACTAAATGCACATAAAGAAACTAAGCCATTGAACGAATGGACATAGTCTAAACTGGGTAAGACCAAGGAATAGCGTCCTGACTTATCACCGTTTTGTCTCATTCTCTCCATGTTCCAGTGAAAGGCACTTTTGCCTTATCCTTCCCTGTGGAGTCAGACATTGCTCCCATTGCACGAATGTTCCTCTTTGCCATTTTACCAGATGGAGAAGTTGTTGGAGACTCTGAAAAGTTTGAGATTGAAAACTGTCTAGCCAACAAGGTGAGTGATTTCACATAAAATTCAAAGAACACAAATAAATGATAGTGTAATCTAGATACTGCCATCTATTTCACCCCAGAGAAAACTGAGTTCAGAAAAGTAAAATGGGTTGCCCAACAGTTCCCAACAAGTTTATGTAAGACCCACATTTGTATGCATCTAGTACAGCACTTTTTCCATTACACAAAGCTGCTACCAAATAAAATATAATCAATGTTGTGTTAATGATGGTCTTCTCTGCTGATTCAATTGTGTGAGTATGTAAAATGCTAAGACTCAAAAGTTCCCAAATCCTGAAGAATAAGTACAAATACCTAGAATTACCTTATCATGTATCAGAGATAAAGATGGCCAGTGGGGCGCGGTGACTCATGCCTGTAATCCCAGCACTTTGGGAAGCTAAGGCGGGTGGATCACTAGGTCAGGAGTTCGAGACAACTCTGGCCAACATGGAGAAGCCCCATCTCTACTAAAAATACAAAAAAGAGCTGGATGTGGTGGCATGCACCTGTAATCCCAGCAACTCAGGAGGCTAAGGCAGGAGAATTGCTTGAACCTGGGGGGCGGAGGTTGCAGTGTGCCAAGATCATGCCATTGCACTCTGGCCTGGGTGATAGAGCAAGACTCTGTCACAAAACAAAACAAAACAAAAGATGGCCATCTAAAAGTTAAACAAGGTATCTATCCTTATTCTGCCTCAGTTGTCTCAATAGGACAAGACTAAGCTACTAAGAAGCCTTTGCAATATAGTGAAGGAAAGATGTAAAAACAGATTTCTCACTGAAATTAACAACATAGTTGTATCAACTGAATATAAGGATGACTTAGGAAATGCAGGTGACTGCAAGATCACAAAAGTAGGGAAAACACTGGCTGACTTTTCCTTCATTTTCCACAGGTGGACTTGACCTTCAGCCCAGCACAAAGTCTCCCAGCCTCACATGCCCACCTGCGAGTGGCAGCTGCTCCGCAGTCTCTCTGTGCCCTTCGTGCTGTGGACCAAAGTGTGCTGCTCATGAAGCCTGAGGCTGAACTCTCCAGGTCCTCAGTGAGTTTCCAGCAGCCTCAGGGACCAGGAAGGGCCATTCCAGGGGCTCAGAGCAAGATGCCTCTATTGAGAGTAAAATGTAGCCATAAAAATACTTACCATTTGTCTAGTCCCTGATAGTTTCTCATGCTGTCTTGTAGGTTTTCTCACTTAATCTGCCCAACATTCTGGAGAGTATTAGTCCCAGTTTAAGATGAGAAAGTGGATTCAGAATAGTTGAGAGATTAGTTCAAGACTGAGTGACATAAGCTGAGATGTGATTCTGAAACTCTGCCTGCCAGTTTTGATTCCTTCTGTGACACAACTTCTATTTCTATAAAGAATCAAATCCCAACCTCAGTAATTAATGTCTTACAATAATCTTAATGAAACTACATTTGTTAAAATTCCACACTTATGTGATAGTCTTGTTTAAAACAGTGAGTAAATTAATGTATTGCCAAAGTATTAGATAATTTGGACCCTGTCTCGGGGGGTCACTTTTGGTCACTGGAGTAGGTAAGCTTGTTATAAAATTAATACCCGCAAACATAAGGGAAGTTATGTACCTTTTAACACATCTAACTGTTTATGTCTCGTGAGTTGTTGGGATCTGTGAAAGTGATAATAAGTGATTTGAACATTATTTTCTATTTTTTCAAAAAAGACCTACTACACCTTTGTTAGCAAACTTGATTCACAGACTAAAATTTTAATTCTCTGCTATTTACTACAGTTATATTAATTCATGGGGGTAACATCTGGCATGTCATGATGATTTATTAATTTTATTATTTCAAGCTTACTACATGCCAGATCTGTTGTAGAAGCTGAGGAAACAGAAGGAAACATACCACGGACTTGTCCTTATAGTCAATTAAACAAAAGCTATACGTGACTCAGCGAAATAAAAGGTGAACATTGGTTAATAAGTGCCATTTGGAGAAAATACTATCTAATATGGGATTTCTGAAGAACAATTATCAGAAGGAAGGGAAAAGCTCAGAACCTACTTGTCTAACCTATTTAAAACTAGATTACTCATATTTGAAATTCTTTTAACATAATACAAGAAAAAATGAGGTTGTTACGATTTGATCATTGACAAAAAGTTATGAGAAATTTTATAGCTTTAACTGCCTCATGAATCATTTAAAAGGATCAATCAATGTATCCATTTGGTATGTATTATTGATTTTCAATGTTGGTTGACAAATTAGAAATATGAAAGTTTCTTTTGTTTGTTCTAGTTTCTACTTCATGTCTATTAAAATTTTAAACTCTGAGATAGGCTTGGCATGGTAGCTCATGCCTATAATCCCACCACTCTAGGAGGCCGAGGCATGTGAATCACAGGGTCAGGAATTCAAGACCACCCTGACCAAGATGGTGAAACCCGTCTCTACTAAAAATACAAAAATTAGCCAGCTGCAGAGGCAGGTGCCTGTAATCCCGGCTACTCAGGAGGCTGAGGCAGAAGAACTGCTGGAACCTGGGTGGCAGAGGTTGCAGTGAGCCAAGATAGCACCACTGCACTCCAGCCTGGGCAATAAAGTGAGACCCCCATCTCAAAAATAATAATAGTAATAATAATAACTGTGAGATAACTATAGCCGAGACCCCTGTCCTATTATTACTTATCAAAATTAACATTCTTGAGGTTGGAGCATACCCACTAGTGCCCCTTATCTGCAGGGGTATGTCCCAAGGCCTCCAGTGGATGTCTGAAACTGTGGATAGCACTGAACCCAATGCCATCAACCAGAACACGTTTCTGTTCCTGTCTTCCACCCACAAATTTAATGCCTTTTCCATCTTAACGAAGCACTTATCGCATGCTTTAGCCATAATTTTTGTAGTTTGAGATGTGACAGCAAAACTAACATGAATTTCTTTTTCCTTCTTCACAATTTCATGGATAGAAGACTTGTTCTTGCCATAGATCTTAGCAATCTCAGCATACATTTTCTTTTCTTTCCTTATCAAATGGAGAACTTTCACCTTTTCTCATAAAGGAAGTACTTTCCGGCTTCTCTTTCACCTCTGAATTGCCAGCATCAGTACTCTGGACCAATGGGGCCATTACAAAGTAAAATAAGGGTAACTTGATACTGTGACACTGTGATACTCTGACACTCAATCTTATAACTGAGAAGACTAGGTGACTAAAGGGCAGGGAATAACTATAGTGTGGATCCACCGGAAAAAGGGAGAATTCACATCCTGAGCAGGATGAAGCAGGATGGTGGGAGATTTCATCATGCTGCTCAGAATGACAGCAATTTAAAACTTGTGAACTGTTTATTTCTGAATTTTCCATTTAGTATTTTTGGATCACAGTTGACCACAGACAGTGGAAATCCTGGAAACCAAAACCACAGATCAGGGGGACTCCTATAATCAAAGTTTTTCTCAATCTTAATTCATATTTTATTAATAGGTCAAAATATCTCCTCATAGCGTAATAACTATTATGCAAGAGACAATGACTACGTTTCTGTATTTTAGTTAGAGAAAACAACTTCAAGAAGTTAACCTGAAACAAGAAAACTTTCTGAGTGCTTTCTTTGGAAACATGCCTGATATTATTACACTCTGTATTGACAACAGTCTATTCTAAGCTATTAATTACAGCATAGAGTAAAGGAGTTTAGTCTGCCTCTCAACAGTTGACGTCCGTCTTACTCTGTTTAGTCATATACGTTTAATAGTCGCTTCAGTAAGGGCTGGTAAGCTTGGAATGTTGTGGAGGTGGGAAGGAATTATGAACATAACTGGAGATTTTAGACGATAACATTATAAAAACCTTTAGGCCTTTGGGAGGCCAAAGAGGGTGGATCACGAGGTCAAGAGATCGAGATCATCCTGGTCAACATGGTGAAACCCCGTCTCTAATAGAAATGCAAAAAAATTAGCTGGGCACAGTGGCGCGTGCCTATAATCCCAGCTACTCAGGAGGCTGAGGCAGGAGAATTGCCTGAATCCAGGAGGCAGAGGTTGTGGTGAGCCGAGATCGCACCATTGCACTCCAGCCTGGGTAACAAGAGCGAAACTCCGTCTCAAAAAAAAAAAAACCTTTAGGCTTGGTTGCTTTGAATAACAACAGAATTCATTAGTTCACCCAATATAAATAATAGATGCTCATTTACATACCTGTTTAATTCTACTCAAAAACAAAGGTACATAAAGAAGTAGAAAGGGTTTTGTGTTAGCTGTCCACCGCTGCTTAACAATTTTCTTCAAAACCTAGTGGCTTAAAACAATCAACATTTCTTTCTTTTTTTTTTTCTAGTTTAATGTTAGCATTTATTTTTAAAATACACAAAATAGAAATTTTTACATCAAAGTGTGATAACCTCACTTACGCATTGTTCCTTACTTACCTGGTTTTGTTTACGTCTTTCTGCAAACATTAAGAGGAGATGAATTTGATTCTAATTTTTTTTTTTGCTATGGTTCGTGCAAATAGCTGAGACTGCTACATAAAGTAGGTTGTTGTCAAAGGTAAAGTGGCCACAGAATCCCAACAGTAGAGCAATTCAGTTTGGTCTAATGAAATAGGCGGAGGTCTCAGCAGGTAGATAATCCAAGACTAAATATTGTCTTCTAGGCATTTTAAAAATTAAAAACTTTTGAGGTTTTCTTAATGTTGTAAACATAACTTAGACTTTGTTGGCATTAAGTTTACCAAAAAAAAAAAAAAAAAAAAATCTTAAACCATGGTTTTTATCATCCTGCCCATGTCAGTATACACTCTCTTTATTATGAGAATGAAAGCAAATAACAAGCAAAATATAAGCAGATCACGGTGTGGTTCTTCCGGCCAGAGTCAGAGCAGGCCCGCCAGCACCACCTGCAGTCCTATGAGTTCATGCAGAAGCATGCGGAGGAGGCCCGGGTCCACCTGCATTGCTGTGACCTGAAAGCCGCTCTGAGCACGAGCGCCAGTACCTGTTATGGCCAGGTTCGAGCGGGGTGGAAAACACAGAGCTTGTCAAGACACCCAGTGAGTACCTGTTGATGCTGATGCCGCCCAGCCAGGAGGAGGAGAAAGACAAGCTTGTGGCCCCCAGCAACGTCCTGTCCTTGGCCCAGCTGCGCACGCTGCCCCTGGCCAATCAGATCAAGATCCTGATGAAGAACGTGAAGGTCATGCCTATAGCCAACTTGATGAGCCTCCTGGGCCCGTCCATCGATTCCGTGGCTGTTCTGCGGGGCATCCAGAAGGTGGCGATGTTGGTCCAACATCAAGGTGGTGAAGAGTTACATCCTGTAACCCAAGGACTCATCCAGCCCTCACAGCGGCGTGCCCGCGGAGGTGCTCTGCAGGGGCCGAGACTTCCTTATGTGGAAGGTCACGCAGAGCCGCTGGGTGGTTAGGAAGGAGATGGCAACAGTGACCAAACTCTGCGCCGAGGACGTGAAAGACTTCCTGGAGCACGTGGCTTTGGTGAGGATCAACAAAGGTTGGGAGTTCATTCTACCTTATGACGGGGAGTTCATCAAAAAGCACCCGGATGTGGTCCAGCGCCAGCACACGCTGTGGACGGGCATCCAGGCCAAACTGGAAAAGGTCTACAATCTTGTAAAGGAAACCATGCCAAAGAAGCCGGATGCACAATCAGGGCCTGTCGGGCTGGTCTCTGGGGACCAGTGGATCCAAGTAGCCAAAACCAAGGCCCAGCAGAACCACGCGTTGCTAGAGCAGGAGCTGCAGCGGCGGAAGGAGCAGCTGCGGGCGCCTGCGGTCCCGCCCGCTGTGCGGATCAAGGAGGAGCCAGTGAGCGAGGAGGGCGAGGGCGACGACGACCGGGAGGAGCCCACGGACACTTCCCCCAGCGGAGGCCTCCACAGCAGGCTGGCCAAGGGGCTGCCTCCTGGGAGGGCTGCGGGCACGGACAGCTTCAACGTGCATCCGCCCCCAGGCTGTGATAGCACCCCAGTGGCCCGGGACCTGAGGGCCTTTGTGGAGACCGCCTTTCAGAGACAGTTTGTGCTCACGCTGAGCGAACTCAAGCGCC